CCCGGGGGGGGCAACAATCTGGGCTCTGGAAGCCCCCAGGTGATTCTGATGCCACCAGGGGTCGAGAGCTGTAGGCCGGACCCTCCCCCAACCATGCCACCCCTCTTAGCTGTCACCCAGCACCTCTAGAATCCACCCCCATTGCCCACTCAGCACTGCCAGGACCTTGCAGCCCAGGTCATCACTTCTCCACACACCTCCCCATCTGTGGGGTTAAAAACTGGTGTGAGGACCTCCTAGAGCTGCCCTAGCTCCGGGCCGCCTTCGACTGCCCCCTCGTCTCTTCCCACACATGCACAGACATACATTCTCAGGCTGTCCTCCTCTGCAAGCTGTCCCCCACAGCTCCTCAGTGTGTCACCTGATCCTGCTCCAATGCCCCCAACTTGTGCCCAAAATGTTCTCTCTGCCCAGAACGCCCCATACTGTGTGCCTACAGGGCCTCCCACCATCCCTACCCTCTGCATCCCCCAGCCCTGCCCTGAGGGGCTATAGTTCCTACACCCCATCCCTAGAATACCCTGGTGCCCCATCAGGCCCAGGCTGCTTCAGCCCCACCTGTACCCAGCTAACTCATCCCCTCCTTTGGAGCCATGGCACCACCTCTTCCGAGAAGCCTTCCCTGATCTCCCAGGTGTGGCTGTCTGTCTCTGCGTCCCCGCATCCTTTGTCAGCACTCAGCACACAAGCTGCTGACACTGCCCTCCTCATCTGCATCCCACACACCTGGGACCTCCCACCTGCCCCACCCCTACACACTGTGGGCCCTCAGGGGTGGGCTCAGTGTGGGGGTCCCACCCTGACACCACACACTGTAGGCTTCAGAAGTGGGCTCAGTGTGGGGGTCCCAGCCTGGCACTGCACACTGTGGGCCCCTCACAGGCAGGCTTGGTGTGGGGGTTCTACCCCAGCACTGCACGTGGTAGGCCTTCAGAGACAGGCTCAGTGTCAGCGTGGGGGTCCTACCCCAGCATCACACACTGTGGGCCCCCTGGGGTGGGCTCAGTATGGGGCTCCTATCCCGGCACTGCAAGTGCTTGGTGAATGGTTCCTAAATGAGCCAATGAGCCAGCAGCTTAGGGGCCCCCTCCCCAGCTGCACCCCTGTGAAGTGTTACCCAGAGCCCCTGTCACTGCCCTTCCCTCCCGTTTTCCGTTCCACGTCCCTCTCCACATAGCAGGGCCCTGGCACACACAGGAGCCGCAGGACGAAGCGGTGACCCTACTTGGCTCCAGAACAATGCAGACACTGTCCCCACCGTCCTAGATTTCAGCACCCAAGAGACCTGCATGTTCACAGTGGCATCACAGGGAGAGGACAGTGGCGTCACAGGGGCAAGATGCTTGTAGGCACGTAACTGGTGAGACAGGAGCTCAGGCCCGCC